TAGTAACTAGAAACTATCCTCCATTGACTTATTTATTCATTCAGTTGTCAACATACCATGCACTTGGGGATATTCTCATTCGAGCAGCAGTATTACCATCATGGGGACTGATTCGAGAAGATTAAGAGAAGTTTGAAAGTCTTCGATGAAAAGGATTCACACAGATAATCCGCCTGTAGAGGTCCAATCTTTACCAGCCGATAAGTATGAATGATTACTTCACACTTAGTGAATCGAGTTAGCTCTTTGACCTGTTATTGCATTGCATTAATGCCACTGTATTGAGTTTTACCTATTGGGAATGATTGGGTCTAAGTATGCATGTACTATTATAGACACAAACAGGTCTTGGCAGTAGTAAATCACAATCGTATGCCTTTATACTAATCTGTCCTTCTTCACACGGTACTGATATCTGTAAACAGACCAAGTTTTCTTCGTCTGACGTCCACGTGTTCTGTCTAGTGAGTTTTTTTTTTGTGAAAACAACCAATTCAGTTTTATTTGACCAAAATTTTTTTCAAATTATTATGATTGTAGTTTGAGATATAAAAAATAAATGATAAAAATTTCAACGTAGGTCACTTCTCGTATGCCTCCCGGCAGTAGACTTCCATTCAGAATCGTAGTGGCGGTCTGATTGGTGAGTGCTTTTGGGCCTATAAACTGGTTGTGGTCAAATGAACAAGTCAGAGATTTTCTCTCTTACAATTAGACAAGTTTGCTGCCAATTCACTGGCCTAGCAGAGGTGGAATGCTCGATAGAATAGAGAGGGCGCCGCGGGGTTCCAACCCCTGACCGTGGCCATTTAGCATTGTACCACTTCACCCTCTTTTTGGATGTAGCCGTAGATATTTCGAGAGGAACATGATTCAATGAACATTAAACTGAGAACTGCAAATACTTTTAGCAAAGTTTAATGGAGGATTATTTGTCAGCTTATAATTTGATTGAAGCCAAACCCCCTGGAAACTAGAAAAAAACTCTTCTTTGGGCCCGGTTTAGCTCCTCCAATGATTGAAAACCTCTTGACGCTAGAAAGAGGGGGTAGTTAGCTCTAGCTAGCACTGTATGTATATAGGTCAAGTTCTTCGAATTTTTCGGTTCATTTTAATGATTTATGCTACAAAAAAAACTAATCACTCTTCCATGATCGCTTGCCGGATTTGATCCATTTACTGTGAGAAAAGGGCGGAGGTGGTGTAGTGGCAAGTGGCGCACTATATCACACGCACGGTCAGGGGTTCGAATCCCGGATCGATGCCCGCCTAGGCCAACCAAGCCTTCCATCCCTCCGGGGTCGGCAAATTGGTACCAGACTCGCCTGGGAGGATAAAAACACTGACTTGTACATCGGCTGGCCACCGCAAGTCATTGTATAGGCCACATACGCACTCATTACGCCACTACGATTCTGAATGGAAGTCGAGTGCGGGGGCGCATCCCTCAGACGGGATTGATTGACGCCAAAAACTTTATCCTTTAACTTTTACTGTGAGAAATACCAGTAGAATTCACTATTTAGAACTCTGAATGATAAACTCTGTATCAAAGATGTAATCAAATCCGTAAGCAAAGTTTTTACAGTAGCCCCAGATGCTCTTTTTCGTTTTTGTTGCTCTTTGACCATATTTTAATTTACAAGATCTTTTTTCAGGGTAACTTTCATTTAAGATCTGAACTGAGTTGTTGGTGTTACGCAATAGTTTGTACTTGACTGTGTACACACCTCACGTCGCTCAAAATGTACTGCATTATGAAGTTCAAAATTCACCGAATCAGGATTGGTGCGACCTGTCTGAATTATTTTTTTTTACGGCAATGGGGTAGTTCATGGATTTTAGTAGAGAAAGAAGTACGGAGAAACTGGTATTTCATGGAAATTTCTCATGCAGTTTCCTCGTACTCCTTCCTCTACTGGAAGGTTGTAGTGGATGTACATGACAGCCGTTATCTGGGATTTGTTTGTTTCCTCAACACTCATCAAATCACTCTCGATCTGGGAATTCATGAATCCTACCTAAGCCACAAGTTACATCAGAGAATTTAGTGTCTCTCAGATTATCGATTCAGCGGGATGAAGAGTGTATGCCAGAGAAATGACTGTAAAACGGAAAATCCGAGCAGTTTGGTTAGCAGGCATTAAGAAATCGTGTAGATAGGGTTCATATATTCGTTACTCATGCTATGCTTTACCTTATAATATGCAAATTTCAGACGATGAGCAACTTGTTCAGCTTGCTTTTGATTTTTACCTTGGCAGCAATAATTGTTGGCCAATTTTTCGGTGAGCAATGCAAGATTGTTGTTTACATTGTTTGTAGCAATTCCGTATTTCATTTAAGGTAGAGGCCCCTATGGATTTCGCCCGTTCCCCTATAGAGGCGGATTTGGCCCACGTCCGTTTATGCGTCCATTTGGACGCGGATTCGGTCCCTATAGGCGCGGATATGGCGGTCCTTGCTGTGGAGGTGGATATGGCCGTCCCTGTTGTGGAGGAGGATTTGGTCGTGGCCGCTATGGAGGTGGATATGGTCGCCGATACGGATTTAACCGTGGCCTCTATGGGCGCGGATTTGGTTTTCGTCCTTATGGTGTTGGATTTGGCCGATAACGGAACGAAATCTATGATTCACTGGATTTGTGGACATAGCTCCAACGTAACAATAGAAATAAATGTGGTTATAAGTGTCATTTTCTCGACTGCGATAAAAGAAGCACAGCTCACGTTTATATCATGCCGAATTTTAAACTTGAGATCGAAAAAAAGGAGAACGAGAAGAATCCCGGCTTTGGATTTCACTTATTGAATCTGTAGGTGTTCTACTCGCTACGAAGTAGAAGGATTAGAGTTCTCATGGGAGGATACGGTAGCCGCGGCGGAACTGCTGTCGCATGCCGTGGGAATTCAGGGAAAGCTACCGCCACCCGTGATGGGAAAGCGCAAAAATATGTGTAAAACGTTTCATCACGCTGACAGTGCTTCAAAAGTTTTAGAGCTTCTGAGACCGGTCGTACGTCGTGTCTCGCACGTAGCGATGCTTTGTAAAACAAATTATTTTTTTGTTAAAAGTGATCCTAGGTTCATCTGTATACACAGGTAATTTTGAATGCAAAATGCTTACAACTTCTACACTTTATTGGAGGTTTTCCTTAAGAATTCTCATGTTGTGAGAGGTTTTTTCAAATGAATCAATGAGAACGGAGGTTACACAAGAAATATGAAATCAAGCAATGACGTAATTGTGTGAAATTTAGGATAGCATATATCAAGCACATGTACGCACACACGAACAAATCATTACTCAAAACTTAACAACTGTAACTGCCCTACTACGTGAATGGGAAACAGGTGAAACAGTTACAGTCACAATATTCTTTGTACGTCCGAAAGGGTCGAGAATTTTCTTTCGTAGGTCTGAAGACAGCAACAGCAGAGAAATTGGTGGTATACTCACCATAAGGTCGTTCAACCAAAAGAACTGAAATATTTATCTTTTACGACACCAAACAAAGATTGTTTTCTGTTTTTTTTTTGCTTAACAACTACTCTGCGCAGCGGTCAGGACGTTATTCCGCCCCAAAAGACAAGTCTGGGTGAGCTTGCACACCATTAAAACAATTTTGATGATGTGGAAGACTTGCCAGGGTGGAAGTGGTGTAGAGTCATGTAACGCACTACCACACACACATGGCCACGGGTTCGTACCCAGCTACGCTTACCAGACTCGTCTAGGAGGATAAAGCTATAAGTTCTACATCGGCTAACCCCCGTAAGTCATTGTATAGGCCACATACATAAACAAACGTCCAAAAGCTTTATCCTTTATCTTTTTCTTTGGCCGGTCAGGTTACACACATTGGGAACTACAGTACTCATCGTCAGTAACAGTACGTTCTGATTTTCATTGAAATTATATTCTGTTAATCATTCTATTAATTACTGAACAATTTCAACAAAAAAAGCAACCTGCATCAACAACCACTGCATCATTGCGACCCCACCAGTTAACACAGTGATACCGTATGCGATTTGTTGGATGCACATTAATAGCGAACCGATGAATACCGTTACAGCGTACAATAGTAGACCCTGAATTCATCCAGGTAACTGATAATACCGAATCCGACTTTAAAAGGAGGTTTTCTCACCTTGTCATGATGGCGGTGTTTCGACCAACCATCAGTTTTTGACAGTCGCCTCCATGCGAAAAAAGCTCTCGAATTGAAGCCAAAGCATATAATAGCGTACGTTGCATATAATATACAATATGTAACTGTGACAGTCTAAAAAGGCTCTATAATGATGTTCTAATCTCTAAGGGATATGATAACACAGAATCTTATCAAGAACAAATGTATATTCAGGTTAGGGACGTCAATCAAGTTTGAGCAGTTTCTTATTTATTCACAAAAACCGTTTTTATCTGATATCATCAAAACACTCTCAATTTTATGGCTAGGATGACTTCAATGAGCCACTATAAGGTAACCTAACCTTGTGGCTCCAATCCCAGTCCAACCAATTTTGTGGCTAAGATGAATCCAATGAGTTGCTATAAGATAAACTAACCTTATGGCTCCTATCCCGCTCCAACCTTATGAAAAACCCTAGCTTTATCCTTATATTTGCTCAGTTTGAGGCTGGCAGTATGAAACTCGACGAAAACTCTTATTAGTTACTATGTCTAATGATTTGAAGACCATAGGATAGTGCAGAAATATGTCTTTTCTCGGAGGGGCTGGGACGAGTTACACTAGTTCACTAAGGGTGCACAATTGTAGTAATCAAGAAAAATATAAGGGTAGAACTTAGCTTCTTCTCCACAACAAAAAAAGCTTGCCCTGACGCTGTGAAGACTAGGCGTCAAAGTGAGGTAAATCAACAGGGTATGTCGTCCTCTTTCTTCGGAGCCAAACTCGTCCATTCTCGCTGCCGCTTGATTTTGTATCTCAAGCAGCAGTTACATGGGAAAAACTTCGCCTATGTGCGAGGTCTTCAAAATGTTGTGACTGCGTCCTTCGATTCACGATTTTTCCTTTCTAAAGGAGAGACCCACCTATTTTTCATTTAGATTGGGGCCAATCATGGTCTGAGGGCTTCTCCAAATTTTGGTTCAAAATAACTGCTATTTGTACGAGAATATTATCGGGAAAGGCGATGCGAACCACAAACTTCCCATCGGGAATTTGGAGGAGTATTGATAGTATTAAATATGAATTTGCTTCCCAAATGCAAAATGACGACTAGTACGATTTTGCATTTTCCTCATTGGACCACAAGTAGTATGTTCGGACAGTAGTCTATCTGAATTCTGCAAGGCACTTACCGTACTAGCGCTTTTTTCCAATACAATGTATGCGATCGTTCCATCTTCATTATAAATGTTCACAAATTCCGCTGTAAAGAGATGAGCGAAAACGGCAAGGGATACAATATATTGAACAGCCACGGCTGCAAGGAGATTCCGTCTCGTCCAGATCTTAAAAAAATTTCACTATTCCCGCTTCTACAGTATGACTGTGTCACTGATCTGAATAGCTGGAGCCCTTCCATCCCACTCACCTTAGCTTTTTTCAAAAACTTTTCCCTGCAACAATCACCCGCTCTAAGGGTTGTAATGATTTCTAAACAAAAAATGGTACCGTCAATTTTCTCCTAAAGATGAAAAAATGATCTAAGACACCTCAAAATATCTCGGAAAATGAAAGCATTGCTCACTCACTGCCGAGAATTCCTAATTTCAAACTGGGTATCGTAAAGGGAAATCAGTTCAACACCGTCTAGTTTACAATAGCGACTAATTCACCCCCAATCTTTCAATTCAGAACGAGTTTTGTAAAATTCGTCAATAGTGGGAGGTGCCAAAAGGCCCCTTCTGTCACTTCCTCTAGATTTCCGTAATTTTCACCGAAGAATTGTAACTGTATATATCTGACCGAATCGTATTTGTAGGGGAGACAAAGGGCAGAATATCGATTGATCGTAATAAATATATTTCCAATGAGGTGTGCACAAGCGGATATACCACTGAATATACAGCAACACCGTATGATACCCTCGACACCTTCTTTCGAACTCGCCTCATTGGTCAGTCGAAGAACACAACCAGAGATGAGAGATGTAACGTCAGCGATGCCTTCAAACAAATAAATTAAGATTTACAAGCCTGATTGAACTAAAGCGAAAGAAAAAACCCGTTCCTTATAGGGTATTGTCTTTTCTACACTTCACTCAAGCTACGATATGCTCCAATCAGACGAGGTATTATTGTTAAAAACTTCAAACCCCACCACAAACTGGCTTTCATCAAGAAAAAAACGCTGAAAAGTTACCTGTCGCTAAGAAAATGGAATAGAAAGCGTTTTTGAGGATTTTCCCTCTAGAGGTAATAATAACAAGTAGAATGTAAACATAAAATACAACAAGCAGTCCTTCAATCACAGTTTGCACCATCGCCATATTTGTCCAAGAGTCGAACAAGATTCAAGTTCAGTTCTCTGAATCAATACAAAACTTTATCATTATACCGTATCGACGCACCTGCATTTCTTGGAAAATCAATGTTCCCATCAATGTTTCAATAACTTATTCTGTCTTATGGTTAGTGGGTAATACAGTCAGGGCTTCCAAGTCGGTGTCAATAAAGCGCTCAGAATTGGGCACAACACAACTTTTGTCCGAAGATCGATATCCGCCTTAACTTTTGTCCGAAGATCGATATCCGCCTTGGTCGACTGAGCTTTCCATCCCTCCAGGGGCAGTTGTCTGGTACCAAACTCGCCTGGGAAGATAGGAGCACTAACTTGTAGGCTAGCTATTGGAATTCTTCAGACACTCGATACAATACTACGGTTATGATTGGGATACGAGTGCGGAGGTGCATCTCTTTCATCCTTCAAAGCAGTAACCCAATTTTCACTCTCTTTGAGTGTTTCTTCTGTACTACGAGGGGACTTTGTCCTCAATTAGAATCTTACAGGAATGTTCTAAATTTGCTAGTTCGGGAGCCTATCATGACCTGTTAAAAGTTTAGGTTGTGAAATGAAATCGTTTATGTGAGGGACATTTTCAGCGAAAACTATTTGGTGTTGTTTATTAACAACAAAAGGTTGAGTTCGTTTTGCTAAGACACCAGGTGTATGCCGAGTTCTCGGAAAAACTCGAATCTGCTTCCATTCTTT